TTTTAGGAAGAAATTCACCTCTGCCCCAGCCTATGCTTCTTGGGTTCATAACTCGCATGGATTAAGTTCTCTGATTCTTACCCCATCCTTCCCTACACCTATGGAAGAGCTCTTTCATCTCGGTAAATGCTCTTTTCCTTCTTTAGCTACTTAGTGCTTATTCTTCCTGCAAAGAGCAATTCAAACATCACTTTTTCACATAATCCTTCTCTGATCTATCTTCTCAGTGTAAAACCCTTTCTGTGGGGCTTCTGTGGAGGTACCTTTCTCTGGTAACATTTATCCCATCTGGAATTGTAATTCTCTATGGTTAGATTAATGCTTTCTTTTCTCGTTAGGTAGCAAGCACTTTCACTTATTTATTTTGCTTGCCACTGTATCCAAAATAGAGGCTTACTAATGAAACATCATTTTAATACGTATTTTTAAAAATAGTATTTTTCACCTAAGTATTTAGAATTTTTGTCTTTTAGAGTTCTATTGTATTTATCATAAGAAGGATAGGTGATTGTCTCCTGGAGCAACATTTCAGTTTGTAGGTTGATGTGATCCCCTCTGACAATATAGAAACCTTATTGTTACAATACTCCTTGAAATATTGGTTAAGTCACTTGGCTTCTGTTTCCTTTCATAATCGATATGACTTCATGCAAAATGATGCCGCAGTTCACATCATTCTGTCAATCCCCATCAAGGAAATATTGTTTTCCAAAATTAAAATTGTGAATCAACTCACAGGAGAATGTCGTCAAATAAACAAAGAATCATCACTTATATTACACTGCCAAGTTTGTGATAAGCTTAATTCCTCTAAATGCATTTAACTTTAATGAAGAGTAATACAATTTAATAACAACACAAAATGGAATCATTTATCTTCTCAGGCCTAGACATTGGGCAGATGTCTTTTCCTTAATACAGTCTTTCAAAATGCAAAAATTTTTCTTCCTTCTTCAAATTTGTTCTCCTCATTTCTATTTATGTGGCTTGAAGGGTGATCTATAGTACACATTTAATTAAATCACTCATCAGGCTGTAGATTTCACAATCAGAAATCTCTGGAATTTGTGTTTCCAGTTCCCAGAACAATGATATTTGCACAACCCAATAAAATTTTATAATTATTATTATATTACTCAAGATTTTTCCGTTGCAAGTGACATAAAACCAAATTCAAACTGACTTAAGCAGAAAACAGAATTTATTGGAGCACATACAGGGGAACCAAAGGTGGTTTCTGGCATTCAGGTGATGTTGATAGGGGCCTCTCTTATCTTCTGGCTTGCTTCCCTCTGTGCTGGCTTCATTCTCAGGTAATTTCTTTCCTTATATGAGGCAAGGGAATGTTCATGAAACAACACAGTAGATTATTCATTGATATAGAGTATGGCTTTCAGCTGAGTCTAAACTGACTGGGATTTGGAGTCTACTTGGGTGTTTGGCTTTTTTAATTTTTGGCTTAAGCAGAGGTTTTGTTATAATACCCTTAGGAGAGGGGCAAGTTGGTAGGCATCATTTAGTGTTGTCTCCTACATACTCCAAGAACTATTTTTTTGAGCCCTTGTGGAAAATACAGTTATAATAATCAACTTGAAATCATTTTTATGAAGAATTTCATAAATTATATTGGGAATGTAGCCCAGTTATGGTGTATTATGGGTGTGATAACTGAAATGCTGCAGGATCAACAAAACAGGAGAGCATCTCGCAGAGAAGCAATGATGAGCCTGAAACCTATGGCTTCATTTCTGAACACTCTCTAGACACTTCCAGTTGCTTGGTTCTCTGGGCAGAAAGGCAGACAAATGTGGATTATGGCAACACTAGATTTAGCCTGTTGTTTTGTGGAGGGTGTTTTTAATTAGTTTTATGTGGAGAGATTACATGACCCTAAAACCTTCCTTTGGGTGAAGGAAACAATGCACAAGACATTTTCAGAGCTATATCAGTTTAAGTGGATGTAAAATATGAAGAAGTAGGGGTTTATGTGTTGAAAAATAATTCAATTAGATAATTCAGTAAAATATGCAACTTTTGTAGAAATCCAGTGGCATTATTACAGTATGTTTTTCATTTATTGCCTAGAGGCACTCATGTGATTGCTCTGTATGAACTTGCAAAGGTTGAATCAGTATTAGAAGAACTGTTTCCAGACATGCTGCAAAAAACTGAGCAGCATCAAAATTCCTCACACTAAGAATATTCTTCCTATACTACTGTTTTCTGGCTAAAAGCATTTAAAAATTTTAAGAAGCATATATAATAGGATTGCAGGGATTTATACATTCAGATGGGTCATGTGGTCTGCAAAAGTTAACTGTAAATTGTTATCTAGGTAAAAGCCTCTTACTTGTGTTTGTACAAGCACAGATCCTAAATAAAACTGCTGCAGCAGAATGCTCATTAAAGTGGATTTAAGATTCCAAATGAAAAGCTATTGATTTTTAAAAGGGTAAACAACACTAAGCTGCCAGAATCATCTGCAGTTATTAAATTACCAATTTAGTTAGTTATTATTTTTTTTTACACTCTTGGTTGTTTATTAAGTAAACTAGGTAAGGTGTAATGTTTGAAATGAAACTGAAACATCAGCCAATAGTTATTTTCCACAGACATTTAGAAATTAATGATCTGGCTGAAAAATGGTGATGGGTTTTTGTCTCCCTCACTCAAATTCCCTGGCCCCCATAAAAATACAGTCTACTTCATATCTATGGGAAGGAAAGATTAGGAGAGGGGTCAGATGATAAATTTTTAGCCACCAGCACCTAGCCAAGAGAGCATGACTTAGTCCTATCACATTTCCCATGTATATTTATGTACTGTACCATTTGGGTATTATAATAAAAAATTTTTTATCTGTCCCTGGAGGCAAAATTGAGTTATATATTAAACGGCTATTTTCTTTGTTTTCTGCTTAGGTATGCATGTAATGTGGTAGCATAATATATATTCCACACTTGTTTCATTCCTGCAGAGAGATAATATTTTTGCAGCTGACAGAGTAAAGACATCCTGTGCTTCCAGAATAAGAGAGAACATATTGGCAGGATAAAATGCAGATGCTCTCAGTGTTTTTTCTCCTCATGGTTGTATTCAGCAGAGGTTAAGTTTCCTGGGCATATTTGCCTGTCCCTTTTGGGCATTTGGACACAGAAGTTTCCAGTAAATTAAAGATTGTAAAATATGGTTTCAAGGAAAGTAATTCAAAATGTTTTTAATAGGAAGAAAGTAAGATTCATTCCACTTCCAACCCCAAAAGATTTCTTTTTCATAACAATGTTGGAATCACAATAGCTTTCCTCCTTTTCCATAAGGTATGAATTTGAGTGTATCCATTTTTGTTCTTTAAATTTAAAAAAAAAAAATTCTTAAATGAGAAACTGTTTTAAAATTCCTTTTGCTAAAGGCTAGGAAAAACAAATGGAAATTTCTGTAACAGAGGTGGTATCCTAATCCTATCTCTGATTCATTCCTTTTTCCTGTTTCAGAAAGATGCAATCTAAGGATGTAAAAGGAATACAAAAAGATTGTTTTTGCATCACTATCAGAAACTTCTCACCCATACCATGAAGATAAGGAGTTTTAGCTGAAAAAGTTATATGTGGGAGTGAATGAAGGAGCACTTATGAACCACTATTCACATTTTGCCTGCTTATTCTGGAAAAAAAAAAAAGGATTCATTCTCTATAAAGATAAGAAAAAATTTGCCATATAACAGGATGCATATATAATGCACAGGATGTCTTTGCTCTGTCAAATGAAGTTCAAATGTATGTGTTCAGATTAAATAATGTCTACTAAAACAGACTTGCTGTTTTAGTAGTTGGGGGGGCAGTTAATATTTTTAATCAGATTTATTCAGGCTCCTATGTTAATTTTTTTTTAAACTGAAGACTTCCACAAAAAAGTAAAAGTCAAGAAGCAAAAATCTTGGAAATAAAAGAAAAGTAACTATGGGGCATTTTCCCAGAATCCAGAACATAAACTTCAAGATTTGGGAAATCAAGAGGAAAAATCAAGAGGCAAAAGAGATTAAAGCAGGAGAAGCATTATTGTTATTATAGGAGTGTCACAAGGAGGAAATAGTATGAATGGATAAAAAGCAGTGATCAAATACACGATAGAAAATAATTCCTTTGAGGTGAATGATTCAGTGTTTATAGGGAGAAGGTTTACTAAAGACTGGGATGGTATAAATGAAAAGGAATGATACTCAGGTGATATTTCATGTCCTGGATAAAGAATGAATACTAGAAACTACCAAGTAGAGGGAGAAAGTTCAGAAAAACAAACCAAAACAAGAAAGGTTGAATGACATATATTTCTGAAGAAAAAGCCAAGCTATTATCTAAATGCAAGGGCAAATGAAAAAATCTGGTTCAGGTTTGTAAGAATTCAGAAATTCCATAAATCTTGTGTGCTTTTGAAAAATATAACTCCAAATACACCTGTAAGCAAAACTAATCAAAGTAAGTAATTTCACAAAGACATATTTTAGAAAAATATAAGTGAGCTAGAAAAACTTAGATTCAAAACTCAAGACTTATAATGTGATTGTGAACTAAGTACAATTTATAACAAAAGTATTATAAAAGAAAATTTGTTATCTTTTAAAAAGCTCGCTAAAGATGTTAGTAAAGAAGAAAGGGGGAGAAAGCATAAGTAAAGTGTGATATAGCTTTTAAGTTGAACAAGGAAGGTCCTTATTTGTAAAAAGCATTCTTAAATAGAGAAACCTAATTCTTGATGGACAGTAAATTAAAACATGTTAAAAAACACTCAAGCGAAACCAATTTAAAATAGGAAATCAATTTAAAACAAGACCATTAGAAATGAAAGGATTAAAAAGTATAGAAACCATTATTTTCCCAAAGGGTATGTGTATGTGTAAAGAGGTAAGGGGGGGATGTGACAAGAAAATATTAAAAGAATCCATGAAATGAGACAGAGGGATTATAAGAAAGATATCAATAAAGTCTCTCTATTACAACTTCCAGGTGAAGATGGAGTAACTGCTGTTAGATCTACCCTTATAAAAATGAACGAAATACATGTGGTGGCTTGTTTTAGGCACTGGAAGTGTGGAGTAGAGACTAAAGACAGGAAATTCATGAGGTGAGTATTATATTCAAACTGATTTTATGTCTGGGGTGCAGTAACCTGGAGGTGGCACAGAGAGGTGGAGCACAAATGGAAAACATCAGTCCTACTGGGCTGAGGAGACAGATGGAAACAGAAGAGCTATAAAGGCAGCTGGAATTTGCAAGGTAGAAATTCAGAGACTAGTGAGTTATCCAGAGGGAGGTTCCAAAAATCTATATAAAGATTTTTTCAGATCTTTGACTAAGACCTTGTCTGTGATTTGTATGTTCAGTTTAAGATTCAGCAAAACCCCAGCGTTATGCAAGATAGCAGTTGCTGTGGAACTAATAAATGAATGGCTATATCAGAGGCCATGCAGTACAAAAAGATACTAGAGTTTTGGTTCCCACCATGGTGGGAAGACTTCACTGAGCACACCAGTTGTTCTACTGAGACCCCCGAAGGTTACTCTTTACAAATAAGGAATAAGATCATATCCTAGAATCAAGGTCAAAACCAACATAGACTTGCCTAAACACAGAATAAAAGGAAGTCTGTAGGATGAAGAGAATGAGGCACTTATGTAGCTGTTGGCTAGAACCAAATGCTTTACCTTTGAAAAGGAGACAACATAATCTAGCTGCTCTATAATGTATCAGCTATTACACGTACCATACAATAAAAAATTACTACATATGCAAAGAAGCAGGAAAATGGGTTACATAATCAAGATAAAAAAGCAGGTAATGGAATAGATTCTGACATGACTCTGATTTTGGAGTGAGGACATAATTTTAACAATGGTGATTATGAACATGTTTAAGAATTTTAAAGAAAAATGAATGAGCAGATGAGAAATACATACCATAAAACAATATTAATTAAAAATACAAAAAAAAAAGACAATTTCCCTTAATGGCTTAAGAGGAGACTGGACACTGCATAATAAAAATTCAGAGAACTTGAAGACAAATCACTAGAAAATATCAAAACAAGGAAAAAATAGATTTGAAAAAATGAACAGAGCCTCAGTATCTTATGGAGTGATATCATATGTAATTTAAATCTCAGAAGAAAACAATGGGTCAGAACTAGGTGAAAAATACTAATCTACAGATATAAGAAACTCATAAACCCAAGCAATATGTTTCCATATAGAATGGAGGGTAAAAAATATTTCTAGAACTGAAAAAAATTGTTCTTGGTAGACATTACACTAAAAGAAATACTGAAGAAAATCAGTAAGTTCAAGATAAAACTTCAAATCATTGGAAGGAATGAAGATAATTGGAAATAGTATATACATAGGTAAATATAAATGAATTTTATTTTCTTATCTTTAAATTTTCTTCAACTTATTTGATAGTTTCAAGAACAAAATAATAACAGTGTCTCGGGTATTTCTAACATGTGGAATGGTAAAATACAACAATAGCATTAAGAATCCTACTCCTGGAAGATTCTTATATTATACATATATATTAGTTAGAAGTAAGTTGTGATAAGTATATATTTACTGTAATTCCTAGAGCAATCAAAATCCCACCAATTCACACCGAGAGAGAGAGAGAGAGAGAGAGAGAGAGAGAGAGAGAGAGAGCGAGAGAGAGAGAGAGCACGCGTGCGCAAGCAACAGTGGTAATAACAAATATATATTGGCCCCAGGAGGCAGAAAAGAACAAATAAAAAGTAAACAAGAGGTAGGACAAATTAAAAACAAATTGAAAAATGGTAAAATTAGGTCTAATCATATGAACAATTATATTTAGTGTAAATGTAATAAATATTCCAAATTAAAATAAATTCCATTTTTATTTTTAATAAAAATAATAAGGGTTAGTTCATCAATAAGATGTAATTTTAAGTGTATATTTATCTAATAATTATGTCTAGCATAATTCCTGGTACATTCCTGGTACTATTATTATTGTAAAGATGAAACAACACAGGGAAACTCGTTAATTTAGTTCACTACATAAATAGATCAAAGGAGGAAAAACTCATGACACTTATATGGGCAAAAATGCATTTGCTAAAATTCAATAATCATTATTGGTTCAAAAAAGTAAACATTAAGTTTTGGCAAGGTACCAATAGAAGGAAACTTCCTGAAGATGATAAAGGTTAACATAAAATAAGAGGAAATGTCATAGCTGATGTAAAACATTAGCATGAATAGTATTCCTAAAATTACAAATAAGAGATATTTGATTCTAGCATAGGTGCTATTTAACCTTGTAACAAAGTGTCTAATTCTAACCAGTGCAGTAAGACAAAAAGAATAATATAATATATTAATACTATAAAGGAAGACAGGTATAATTATTTGCGAACAAAAGACTGCCTTTAAAATTCAAGAACAAAATTATTAGAATCAGTAAATAGTTCAGTATGAACATGAGATGTAAAATTACCACAGAGAAAAAAAAATCAGTGCTTTCTTTTATCTTGTCAACAATATGTTAAAGAATGAAACAGAAAATAAATCCATTCTTAGTAAGAATAAAAGCTATAAATTTTTTTTAAAGATTTATTTATTTATACAAGAACTGGGGTACAGGCCAGAGGCCCGGGAGGGTGAGAGGATTCACCAGAGACAGAGCGGGGAGCAGAACAGGCAGACGTATTGAAAACACTGCTGAGGGGGGCAGCGGGCACAACAGGAGAGGTCTGCCATGCCATGTAGGTATCTTTCTGGCTGGCCGGGAATTGAACCTGCACTGCAGAGGCTGCAGACAGCTTCACAGTGCTGCGCTCAACCCGCTGCACCACTGGGGAGACCAAAAAGACTATAAAATATTTAACAAACATTTAAGATTCATGTGTTGATAACTATAGGGGAAAGATAAGAGTTAATAAATGCAGATGCATAGGTCCTTCTTAAATAGTAGAACAATATTTTTGAGAAATCAGTCCTCCCAAGTTAATCTAGAAATGTAATGCAATGCTGGTCCTTATTTATGAAATTTAAGTAGTTGATTCTATAGTCCAAATAGTAGAGAAAATAGCAAGTAATAGCCGGAAAATTCTAAGAAAAAAAATGGGAGAAATTTCTCTTTCAGAAATTTAAAAAAACTTGAAAATGTAATTGTAAAAGTATAAGGTTGATGCAGGTATAGTCAGAGATACTGATGGATAGAATTTAGAAACAGGAATACCTATGCTGGGGTCCAGCATAGCAGTTAAGAACATTGCATTTTAGCCAGGTCACATATCAGCTGTATTCTAGGACAAGTTAGTGGAACTCTTCATGCCTTAGTTTCTTAAATGTACAATAGGAACCATTATATCCCTTTTATCTTATAGTTATTGTGAAGATTAAATGAGTTAATACATATAAAGCACATAGAGTGCTTAGAGTAAGGTCATAACCATGCAAACATTGGCTGTTTTTAATAATGAAGATGCCAAGCAAATCAGAAGGAAGATGATGAATTGCTTCTTAAACTAGAGTGAAGTTTAGTCATTCATTTGGAAAGAAAAACAATTGGGTTGATTAGTTATCCATTTGAAATATTATTAGAGATATACCTTATACCAAAGAAATAAACATAAAAATAATACATGAAAATATACAAAACATATTCATAAGCTTGGGGTAAAAAAATAATATATAAGATATAAAACATTAAAGTCATAAAAGGAAATAATCACATGTTTGTATTAAAAACAAAAGGAATTTTCTGTATGCTAAAGACACAATAAACATTGGCAGTCTTATAGCCTGGGAATGTATTTGTGTTATGTTAGCAAAGGATTAATATCATTGTGAATTAGTAGGAAAAAGACTTAAACACTCCATTAGAAAAATGACCAATGGAAAAAAATCAGATTATAGAAAAAAATGCAAATATTCAGTAAACTCTACAAAAACTGTCAGCCTCCTTGACAGAGAAATGTAATTTAATGTGATACACTTTTTGTCAATTTTAACTCAGATCAACAAAAATATGGCTCATTTTTGTTGATTTAGCAGTTCTACATTTAAGAATTTATTCTAAAGAATATTTCACAGGCACATGGAACTAAAGATCTATAGATGAGAATAACAACAGCAGGTTTATTTATAATAGTGAAAAATGTGAAATAGCCAAATACTGATCATTAGAAGGGACAGTTAAATAAATTATGGCAAACCATAAAATGATTAATACCACACAATTGTTAAAAAATAAAGTACATGTATTTCATATTTTTATAATAAATACATGAAAAATTTCCAAGGAAAGTGAAAAGTTTCATACACATGCATGTGTGTACATATAATATGAAAGGCAAAGGAAAAATACTGAAGCAGAAGTACTAAACTGTTAACTCTGTTTAGCTCAGAATGAGGTATGGGAGATAGAACCTCACATTTTTAACCTTTATACTTAGGTGTAGTTTTAACTTTTTACAATGAAAACTTGCTCACACATATCTTTGCATACTATAGTGCAATGAGACAGAACAGAAAAATGTTACTGAAGAAAGCTGAAAAGCACCCAGAGGCAGATTATTTTCTTGGCATATGCCCTTTACTTAGCAACTAATTCACATGACTTTAAAACTGCTACAAAGCAAGTACATGAAATGTGTAAATTCTTATAACATGGCAAACAAAATCCTGAAGCCAAACCTGACATAGTTAGCACATAACAAAGCTACAGTTCATACTCATGAGCACAGATCCAAACATTTAAAATAAAATACTCAGGAATTCAATTACTACACCTCAGTGAAGTAATTATTCCCTAAATGCAAAAGTGGCTTAGCAGTATTACAAATATTAATATTAGCACTATCAGTTATAATATATAATGGAAAAAGATGTCATTATAATTATGAAAAATAATATGCCTTGCAACAAACAACAAAAATGCCTAGGAACTACAATAAGAAAATGGTAACACATTATTTGGTGATGGAAAGTCTTAATCATATTTCTTTTTTTAAAAAAAAAAAGATTTATTTATTTATTTATACAACCACTGGGTGCAGTCAGAAGCACGGGAGGGTGAGAGAATTCACCAGAGCCAGAGTGGGGAACAGAACAGGCAGACTGATGAAATACACAGCTGAGGGGAGCAGCGAGCGCAGCAGTAGAGGTCTGCGCGCCATGTGGGACCTTTGCCCGCGGCCAGGGATCGAATCGGTGCTATAGAGGCTGCGGGCAGCTTCGCAGCCTTGCGCTCAACTGCTGAGCCACCAGGGGAGGCCCTGGAAAGTCTTAATCGTATTTCTAGAGAGAAATACACAGGTACATAAAGGTGTCAATTTTCTCTAAATTATTTATTAAACTTAATGCAATTCTAATGAAAATAGTGTAATTTGGGGGGACTTAGAAATATTCTTGTTTAAAATTTACATCTTTATTTTTGTCAGTTAGATACATACACTATAAATATGATGGGTTCTGTTAACTTACACAGCAATCAGCTTACTCTTTCCAGCTTCTGATTCCCACTTTCAAAGTCAATAATTCCCAAAGTCAATAATTTTAGTAGTTTTTACTTGTTTGCATCCATAATTTCAAACAAAAGGGTTTTTTCTTGCTACTTAAGTTTTATTTTTCTTAGTTTTAGAGATTTTCAATTCATTTCGTACAATCAAAGGTAAGATTTAGCTTTCTGACCCTATTCCAATCACCTTCTACCTCCAAAGCAAATACACACCAAATAAATGTGCACACTTATCACCTTCTCTTCACCTTGACAATAATTTTTCTGCTAACAGTATACATTGTTAAAATTAGGATTAAATGCCATTCACAGTACAGTCTCAGTATTCTATAATTTCCTTTCATATGCATTTTGCTTAACACTTGTCTGTGTTTCAGTTTGCTTTGTTATTGAGAAGATGACAGAATCCCCATGCCTGTGAGCAAGTGGGTGAGTGAGTGAGTGAACAAGAAAGAGAGAAGGGAACAATTAACAAAGACAGAAGAAAAGACATGAAAGAAAGAACCTCAATTCAGTGAAACTCTCAAGAATTCAAGTTTTTCTAAGAATTCTGGTTTTTCTTGAAAATATATACTACTAAGCTATAGAAAAGAAGATTAAATCCTGCCATTTGCAACTTGGATGAATCTAGATGGTATTATGCTTGGTCAAAGAAGTCAGATGGAAAAAGAAAAATACCGTATGATTTTAGTCATATGTGATTTATAGAGAAACCAAACAAATGAGTAAACTAAGTAAAAAAAATGAATACTTCAACATCACTTGTAATCAGGGAAATGCAAATCAAAATTACAATGAGATACCATCTTACACAAGTGATAATGGCACATATTAAAAAAACTAGCAACAACAAATGTTGGCGAGGATGTGGAGAAAAAGGAACTCTCCTGCACTGCTGGTGGGAGTGCAAACTGGTCCAACCTCTATGGAAAGCTGTGTGAAGATTCCTCAACCTACTGAAGATAGAGCTTCCATATGATCCATCAATTCCACTCGTAGGTATTTACCCAAAGGACACAGAAACATTAATTCCAAAGAACACCTGCACCCCTGTATTTATAGCAGCACTATTTACAATAGCTAAGGTTTGGAAACAACCCAAATACCCAAAAATAGATGACAGGATCAAGAAGATGTGGTACATATACACAATGGAATATTACTCAGCAATCAAAATAGGTAAACTCATGGGGCCTCCCCGGTGGCACAGCGGTTGAGCGCTGGGCTGTGAAGCTTCCCGCAGCCTCTGCAGCCCCGGTTCGATCCCCAGCCACCGGCGAGGGTCCCACATGGCGCGCAGACCTCTCCTGCTGCCCGCTGCTCCCCTCAGCAGTGTATTTTGTCAGTCTGCCTGTTCTGCTTTCCGCTCTGGCTCTGGTGAATTCTCTCATCCTCTCGCGCTTCTGACTGTACCCCAGTGCTTGTTTAAATAAATAAATAAATCTAAAAAAAAAAAGATAAACTCATGCAATTTACAGCAACATAGATGAAGCTGGAAGGGATCATGCTCAGTGAAATAAGCCAGAAAGAAAAAGAAAAATACCGGATGGTCTCACTCATAGCAGGAATCTAGAAAACCTAAATAAGGGACCAGGAAAAAGAATAACTATAAGAATGAAAAAAATCAAAATCAGGGCCTCCCCGGTGGCGCAGCAGTTGAGCGCTGGGTTGCGAAGTTACCCGCAGCCTCTGCAGTGCCAGGCTGCAGTGCCGGTTCGATCCCCAGCTGCTCCCTGGCCACCGGAGGAGGGTCCCACATGGCGCGCAGACCTCTCCTGCCACCCGCTGCTCCCCTCAGCAGTGTACTTCGGTCCTTCTGCCTGCTGTGCTCCCGGCTCTGGCTCTGGTGAATCCGTTCACCCTCCCGGCTTCTGATTGTACCCAGTGCATGTATAAATAAATAAATAAATCTTAAAAAAAAAAAAAAATCAAAATCAACAAACAACTATGAACCAGAGACACACTATGGGGAGGGTGGGGAAAGGTGGGATTGGGGTCAAAATAAGGGGGTGGCAATTGTATGGGGAATATAAAAATAAAAATTAAAAAAATGAACATTTAAGTTGTAAGACTAAAATTAGTGGTTACCAGAAGGAAATTGGAAAGAGGGTAGGTGAGTCAAGTAAACTGTATTGTGAAAGATAGAATATGACTTCTAGTGGGTGAATTTAACATAATATATGCAGATGTTGATTTATAATGATGCACACCTGAATTATATATAATGTTATAATGTAACGTTATTGCAATAAAAATATTGTAAAAATTTGGAAGTGCTCACAAGGAGTCAAAATATTTAATTTATTGAAAAATTAAGATCTGTTTCTATTACTTCAGTTACATTTTCTATCAAATCCCACTAAAGACTCTCTTTAGAGTGAAATATAAAGAAGGAAATATTTTCTGCAAGTCCATGGGTTAAAATTTTTTTTAAATACAAAGGTAATAATAGAAATCAGATCCATCAATTTAATATTTCACTTTACTTTTCCATTATGTCAGTACTACTGCTTTGCATAGGAAATTCATAGGAATTTGCAACTTCCCAACTTTTGCATAGGAAAAGTTGGGAAATAACCTGTTGTATCCAGCAAACAAAATATTAGCTTTCAGGAGGGACTGGGGTAAGGTGCTACCTCTTTGGTGTCTAGAAGCAGGCAGAAATCTACCTTTATTCAAAGATCCTAAACCTGTCTAGAATCATTTTATCACCCTCAACTCTTAAGTCAGAATCTCAAGGGGAAGATGAATAATCACAGATAAGGAGCTAAAGTGAATATTTAAGCTCAGGTGCCTTTGTTAGAGATTTCCAAATATGACTCTGAAGATATTGAGATAACTTGGCAATGGTTTTACAATTATATTTTATAATAAACCATAGTGCACCAATATGTATAGACTGAACTGTTTAAATATCTGGGAGACTTTAACATTTCTGCTTAAGAGCTTAGTTAAAGGAAAAACAATAATGGAAAGTAAGCTGCAGGATTGCTTTTCTCGAATTCTAACTTTAGTGTAAACATATTTCTAATCCTCTGTGCCAGGAATATTTTCTTGAAAATGAATATGAATTATATAATATGATTACCTTTATTAATGCCAGGATTTAGATGAGCATAAACATACTTCCTGCATTTTACTGTGTCAAATTTTAGCCTGGATAATCCTGTAAAAGATTAGCTAATTATATCCTTCTGATTATCAAGTGACTTGACTTAAATCCAGTATGATCATAAAAGGTAAATAAATCTTCAGTGTCAATAGAGGAGGGTCTACACGTGGTTACATTTCAGAAGGCAAAAGAAACTGTACGATATTAAATCCCCATATTACACTGATGACAGAAACCAAAAAAGAACAGATTGTGAGAATTGTAACAATATAAACTCAAAGTTATCACTTTGGGTCCACATAACCCAAAGACAAATATTGTTCTCTAAACTCTTATGAAACTAGAGGTTCACTTATGAAGCTATGCATCACCAATTGTGTGAAATGCTCCTCTCCATTTTTACTTTCCAGATGACCTAGCATTACATATGGATATAAATGGAGACCTTTTTAATGAGCAATAGAAAAGAAAAACAGTGTGAAAAACTCAAGGGTGTGCTATTAGAATAATTCTCAGGGGAAATTAAAAAAGGGAACTAGTCTATTCAGAGTGTCTCTCACTTGCAGGATATACTATCTCATTTAGTTCTCATGACATGTCTAACAAGAAGGTGTTATTATCTCTACATGTGGAAACTGAATGAGAGATGTAACAGAATCTGGTTTGTCTCGTTACAAATTCCATGCTCTCTTGGTTGTTATATTTTGAAAGGAAGGAACACAATTTAAATAATCATAGAGAAAACAAGGAATTTATTGGCTCATAAACTGAAAAGTGTAGACATGATCCTCCTCAGTCAGTATCATCTGTGGCAGGCATGGTTGGATCCAGGACAAGTGAAATTCTTTCTCTGCATTTCTCAGTTCTACTTTTCTCTCTTTTGTTCTCAGTATTAAGCAGCTCTCTGGAGCACCAGCTTCAATCCTTATAGCTTCAGTCCTATGAAAAAGAGATCCTCTTTCTAAGCTGAACTATAAGTCCCAATATTGAATATCATTATCTTGGTTTGGTCTATGTAATCTTAATCATACACTATAGGTAATTTGAAAGAAATGTGAACATGCAAGACCAGCTATTTCAAGAAATGAGTGTTCTAACTCCTTAAGTATATATGTAAAGGATACAGATATCAACTTTAGAATAGTTCAGAATAATTGCACTCTTTTGAATTATTTTTGCATATGAATTATGGATATAATCAGATAATAATTGGTTCTGATCAGGAACATTATTTTTAAATTTTTTTTATATGTATATTTTGTGTCATTCTTCCTTTTTGTACAATGCATGCTTTTCTCCTGTAAAATTCCCACCACCAGTTTCCCCATGCACCATCACCATAGTCCCTTGTGTTCTTCCACCCCCTGTTTTGATCCCTCTCCCTCCTTCTCCCCTGCAGAGTGTCTCTGATTAATAGTTGCCTGTTAATTTTGTTTTTTAATTTATTATAATTTTTTTTGATCAGGAATATTCTTCATGTAAATCTATGGCCTTTACTTCTCTGTCATTAAGTAAGTCTTAAGCACTCTATAAGGTCAAACATACACCTTCTTTTGAAGCTGTTTGTTTACATATTGTACATAATGGTTTAAAAACATATTCAAGGGACTCCCTTGTGGCACAGGCAATTGAATGCAGTGCTGTGAAGCTGTCTGCAGCCTCTGCAGTGCGGGTTTGATGCCAGCAGGCCAGGGAGATACCTACATGGCATGGCAGACCTTTCCTGTCTTGCCTGCTGCTTCCCTCAGCAGTGTTTTCAGTCCATCTGCCTATTCTGCTCCCCACTCTGTCTCTGGTGAATCCTCTCACCCTCCCCCACATCTGGCCTGTACCCCTGTTCTTGTATGTATATAATAAATAAATCTCAAATATATATATATATATATATATATATATTTGAAAGAGAGCAAGGCCAACATTTATTAATTACCTGTTATGCGCAGGGAAAATGTAGGCACTTTATATACACTTTTATGTTCCACAAATTGTTCATTTGCTACATGTAGCTATTTAAATTATAAACTTAATTAAATTAAAATAGTAGCTGTTCAAGTGCTGACTAGCCATGTGACTAGTGGTAACTATAACAAATGGCATATACGTGAACATTTTCACCATTGCAGAAAGTTCAACTGGACAGCACTGAATGTCTAGATATTAGATGATGTTACTGAATTATTGTCAATTTTGTTAAGTGTGATAAAGCTAATTTGGCTTTGTAAGAGTATATTCCAACTTTCTGGAAATCAGTGTTGAAAATTTAGAAGTGAACTATCTCCATGTGTTTCATTTAATGTGGAATCAATATGGCTAACAACACAGAGAGAGATGAAGCAACTATGGTACAACATAAATAATTGTTCAATCTGGGCAACGTATACTAATTAGTGTTTCTAATTTTGATATATTTTGATTAAGACTTCTAAAATGAAAATAGATTGAAAAATCTACCTTTTGTAAAAAGGTTTTTGCTTTGGTGTCACACTTAGAAAATGTTTCGTTTCTTTTTTAAAAAAGATTTATTTATGCATACAAGAATGGGGGTACAGGCCAGATGTGCAGGAGGGTGAGAGGATTCACCAGAGACAGAGCGGGGAACAGAACAGGCAGACTGACTGAAATACACTGCTGAGGGGAGCAGCGGGCAAGACAGGAGAGGTCTATCAAGCCATGTGGGATTCTTGTTGGCCTGCAGGGATCTAATCTGTGCTGCAGAGGCTGTGGACAGCTTCACAGCACTACACACAGCTTCACAGCGCTGCGCTCAACCGCCTGCGCTATCAGGGGAGACCCAGAAAATGTTTTCTTAAACAAGAGTCTTAAAAATAGTCCCTGAGATTATCTTCTAATATCTTAATGGGTCATTTCTTTTAACACAATTTT